TTTTTTTCTTTTAGAAGAGCAATGACAATGATAAAGTGAACTATCAAAAAGAAGCCTAATCATGAAAATAAGATTTTCCTGAGAAGAGGACCAAGAATGGTAACTGGCATCAGACTTCTCCAGTGAACACGAGAACACATTAGGACTTTATTTTCAAATGCGGTGAAAACTTACTCCTAGACCTAGATCCTATCTGTCCATTTAAACTACAATTAATGTAAGGTGGATTGAGATGGAAAAGGACCATGTTCTAGCCATGGACCCAGCCTCTTCCTGAATAGGGGACCCCAGCAAAAAGAAAATGAACCTAAAAGGGAGACCTCATGTACTAAATAAGAAAAGGAGCCAACAAAGCTTAAGGATAATTTTTTGAATGCATATGTCCAAATAATTAGTCTTGAGTGGATTCTAGTGACTTGTTTCTAGATGGGAAGTGAAAGAAGGTGGTGGTGGAGAAAGAGCAACCATGAGTACAAGCAGGCACGTGTTCAATCTGTACAAAGGATGGGAAAAAGTGACCCTAGACTTGAGGGCTGTCCGAAGCCCTTACCCACCACAGGCTGGTAAACAGAAATAAAAAAATCAGTTCATGGGTCACACTAACATTTTAAAGGTGCTCAGTAGCTAGTGGCTTACCAATATTGAATACATAGGTATAAAAATTTCTAGCACTGCAATTATGTTGGAACAGCATTGTTTCTAGATGTTGAGAAAAATTTATTTTAAAGTAGTGTTTTATAATTTAAGGGTAGGGCAGACATAAAATGAAATTATGCAAATAAACTGAATCCCACAGAAGGTTTTTAAAAAGTAAAAAACCTAAACAAAAGAACAATTGTAAATAAAAGATAAAATAAGGCTTCAGGATTATGTCAAAACATGGTAATCCAAATGTGAATGGGTTAAATTCACATCTTAATAAAACACCCAGATTAGATAATAAACAAAATCCAGAACATGAGCACATTAACTAAAAAGGACACAGAAATAGTTTAAAATAAATAAATATAGCAGGCAAATTGTACAAAAGAAAGCTTGCAACCTTACTATCAAAACAAGCACATATACTTTTTGATCAGTAGTTCTAAATTTCCTTAGGGAAATATTTATACAAAATGATAAATATAACCAAAGATGCTGACTGCAGCATTGTTTGTAATAGATGACTTTGAGAAATGATTTTGAACATTTTTTATTAGTACAAAAAACAGTCAGGTCCAGTTTATGGGAACTCTATTTAAACTTTTAAAAAGGATTCAAATAGCTGTAAAAAAAACACTGATGAGAGACCATTTCTAATACACATTTAATAATCAAAGAGTATAGGGTGGATATGCCACCATTTTGTGTGAAGAAGAAAGTCTGTATGTTTTGCATAAAGCAACAGAATTATGCATTTCATGTGATGCAAAAAACAAAAAACAACAGCAATTGTGTCTGTTTCTGGGAAGGCAACCTGGGCAGCAAGGGAAAATGGTTGAAGAAAAAACTTTTGTTGTATATGTTTTCTTGTTACTGAATTTTATACCATATACATTGAAATTCCTTAAGACAAAAAATGAAGTTTACAGAAAGCAAGCTTGGAATATTTAATAGCCAGACAAAAATAGAATTCATAATGAAGAGCATTATAATGACACACAGGCAATTTTTCAAAGATTGTAAAAAAAATGAACAGTTCAACGAAAAAGTCCATGGTATCTTATGCAAAGTAAAACAATAGCTTCAAAATAACAAACAAGTACTTTTGAGAATACAAAAGCAGAAATCAAGAATACAGCCAATTACAGGGAGCAATTTCAAAATTAAAGTAGACAAAAATAATAGCTAACACTGAGCACTTCTTAAGTGAGTGGCACCGAAACTATGTTCTTTCATGCGTTATCTAAAGCTTACAGAAACGTTTAGTAAATAACTTTGCACAAGCCATCTACATGTGTATTTAGCAACTTTTTGCAACCTGATGGACAGAATAAACAATTTTTTCAACACAATAAGAATACTCATTAAGAACACATATTAAGCATCCAACCCTAAAGAACAACAACTCTAACAATAACTAACCTCATCCCAGGAACAATGGCTGGTAAGACTTACAAAGAAATGAACAATTATGGTTGATTTGGCACAGCTTTAAGAATAATTTGGCATTATGTATGAATGTCATACTCTTTGACATCTTTGATAATCTATCTTAGATAATAATATATAAAGTGGGTGGAGACGGGCAATAAAAAAATGAAATATTTTAGAAATGAAAAATGCTAAAATGAGGGAATGGTTAACTATAATATACCATTCAACAGAAGTATTATTTACCATTTAAATAATGGAAGCTATATAATAAATAAAAAGTTTTGAAATGTTAAGGGAAAAACACAGAAATGTCCAACATTAAATTGTGTGTTTATATAGCTACAAAAAAACCCAAATCTTTTAAATTGCACACTACTACCTTTCAATGGTTAAAACAAAATCTACAATTTCTAACTTTTACTGTAGACAGCTTTTTGCTTTGTATCTTTTTCAACTCTGTCCCATCATTAGCTGTGCAGGCAGCACATCTGCTGAAGTTACATGATCTTTGGGGAAATGCAAGCTACAATGTTATTCTACAGAGAGAACAGATAAGCCCAAACCCAGTTGCTGAAGTCATCACCAATGGTGGCTTGTTTTCTTCCAGGCACTTTGGCAGTTACATGTAGCACAGAGTGACTTCATTTAGGCAGGTTACATATCTGTTAGCTTAGATATGGACATTTGTTTCGGGATTCCCTAATATAGCAAAATCTGTTTTCTACTCTACAACAACTTTAAGATGTAGTAGAAGCACTATGTACCTGCAACTGACTCCTGAGAAGCTGAAAATTGGAATTTTGATAATTTCTATTAGTTTTTAACATAAACTGTTCTTATTTATTTAGTAATTTTTACAATTTGGCAAGTTAAAGGGCAAATGGAAGCAAGTTTTTTTTTGGAAAAATAAAGATACTAAATATTTAAAAAAAATTTCCTTAGAATCAACATTCATGTTAAAATATTCTTTTTAAAAAAATATGGGGTCCAAAAAACTCAGCCCAGTATCAGCTTTAAATTAATAGATCAAGAGTTAAGTCCTGCTTCATGCCAACAGGAGCTGCTTCCTCAGCAGGGCTGGTTGTTGCCTTTTGAGGAATGATAGCCAATCCGTTTGTGTACACAAGAGAGCTGGATGGCAAGACAGAAAGTCCTTATGTGGTTTCTGATTTTGGGACTCATCAACAGACTAAATCTACAGGAAATGATTTCAGACATCCTACAAGACTGAGAATAAACTGAGTACCAATTCTGCCTCCAAAGGCAGTGAAATTGATACGTGGATTTTTTTCTGGAGAAGGGAAGATGATTTATCTTGGAACACAAAACGAAGAAATCTTCCTTCATTACCAAATACAATTCAGAGACAAATGTTTTGTTTCCAATCGAGCGTGCTTTCCGTGCTAAACATACTGGGTACACCTGTGTTAGGAACCTACATCAAAGAGACAGGAACACTGGCGTTTGGTTGTACTTCATTTCATATAAGCATGATGTTAAGTAAACTTTATATAGTCATTTTAGATATTTCTGTTGGCTTGACTGTAACTTGCTTAGGAAAGGTTATCAAATGTTTGAAAGATTAATAAAGTGTTTTAAAAAGAAAACTTGCTTGTAGTACCTGTAAACTTATTGAGACAACTTCAGTAAAAGAATGAGCAGAACAACTTAGGAACCCCCCTTAAAGAAAAATGTCCCCCCTCAAAAAAGCTCTACAGTATTTTAGATGTGAAGAAATGTTATTCTTGTTCTTTAAAAATGAGGTCATAGAGATTGGGAAGATGACTTACACTACAGTGTCTGAAAATGGTCACTAGCAAAGAGGAAGGAACTGATTTGTAACTCTTGAACAGAAAATTCTAATAAAGGAACATAAATTGTTTTGATTGGAAGAGACCCTGGAATTCTGTGTCCCACTCTTCCCTCCACCCCATTCTCATGTCCCTTCTAGGCAGCATGAATTGAAAACTACTCTCTGAGGTTAAGGGGCGTGCACCTCAAATTATGGAACAGTAAAAAGCGAGATGTGGCTAAGCCAATTGGATGGCGAAGCAACTTTTAAAATTTTTAATAACTTAAACGCTCACTTTTGACAACCCAATGAAAATAAGACAGGTTAAGGGGCGTGGCACCTCATTAGTGGAAACAGTACAAGCGAGATTGGCTAAGCAAAATCTGGATGGAGAAGCAACTTTTAAAAAAATTATTTAATAACTTGAAACCTCACTTTTGACAACCCAATTGAAAATAAGACAAATATTTTAATGTCTCCAATTCCCAGTTGAATGCATTTCAGAATTTTAGGTATTTCTTAAGATCCTCAAAAACACTGGTGCTGTCAAGTCCAAGTTCCTCATACAGGAATTTAATTTGGGCTGTAATCTAAAAGAAACACATTTTAAAATAGATAGAAAGACTTTGTTGTAAAAATTCCAATGTTTCAGTCTTTGTTTTTCCATCTTACCTAATCCCAAAGTCACCATTTATGGCAGGAGTCCTTTTATTCAAGACAAAGGAAGAATGCTTCCAACAATAAAGATCCAATTACTTTCTTTAACAGAGCTCCCTTATCAAGTACAAGAGTGAGCTTTTGTCTTGAGGACTCATTGACCATCCCTCCCCTCTTGCATCTCAATCACAGGTCTGATATTTGTGAAATGACTATCTCAACTGCTGAAAAACTTGAATACAATCCATTTCCAAGGGGACTCTGTCAACTGAGAGGCTATATAACATACCTTTTTGCATCTCAAATCACAGTGAGAATCCTCAACTCAAAAACTCACATGATTCCCTCCAGGCTGAATCCTCATCAAAATAATATTGGGGGTCTGATAGCCTGAAAGAGTTAACATACAAAACAATTAGAGTCTTCAGAAGATTGACACCCATTTCTCCCCTCTCTTTTAGTTGCAAAGGACTAAAGGCAGTACCACCACCACCACTACTAGCAACAAAGAGAGCAGGGTCAAGCAGCAGAAGTTTCTAGACCAGGGGAAGCAGAGACTCTGTGAAGCTGGATGGACATACCACATAGGGGAGGTTATGACTAGGAGGGAGTCAATGGCCCTGTGAAACCTGAGTCCTATACCCTGGAAACACCAACTTACATAGCAATGGGTGTGAAGGAGAACTGGAGCTAGGTACAGGGAGGCTGTGACTTATAGGTAGGCCCTACCTACTTCTGAGCACTGAGATGTCTTGGCATGCAATTTCAAAGCAAAAGGAAGAGCTGTTATCTAATGATAACAAAAGAACTACCTTATAGCAGCTAGTTGGGGCACTGAGGCTCCAAAGCAAAAACTCCCAAGTCTCTTTAAAGATGGCTAGGAATAAGTCTCAATAAATACTGTTAAACAAATGATGATTGTATGAGTACATCTTCAAGTTATATTTGATATTTAGATTTAGTTTTTTCTGCCTACTTTCACATTGTCCTTGAAGAAGAGGTTAGGCAGTTATAATTACATATACTTTAACTGGATAGTCAATGTAGGAAAACAATTAGTCATCCTAAATCATGGGCAGATGGTTTGGTCTACAGCATGAGACGTTACTCTGAGCAGTATGCTGAGGTACTGGTCTGTTTCCAGACACACTCCTACCTTCACTTGTAACTTTAGCATGTTCTGTGATGGCTTCCTTGAGTTTCTCAGTATAGTTTATGATTCCTTTCAGAGGTACACGTTCATCATTTTCATAAGCTGTGATGTGAATTGAAGGATAATGCTAAAAAAAACACAACAGATGTGTAAAGAGTTTATATTACTCCTACAGTCCCTTCTACCTGACAGAATATGAAAAATAACTGCCTCCAATTTTTCCCTAAGTAGAAGTTTCTTCTCATTTGATATTAGGAGCAAATCTCAGTGTTACAAGTATCAGACTTGCTACCTAGAATAGCCTTCTTATCTGAAGAGGCCATGACTTCATCTAGTCTAGTAACTGAGGCATGGTAACTATTTTCCTGAGGTATTAAACTGAAGCAAACACGAAGCATGAGCAGCTATGGTGCTAAAAGCTGTTTGAATATCATAAACAGAAATATCTTTAAAGCCCTACTAACTCCTGGCTCAGTATGGGTGACTATCTTTTGATTATCTTCTCTATTACTTCAGAACAGTGCATCGTAACTGTCTTTCACTACCTGAGGTTTAATATTTTGATAGGGACAGTAGCGTTTTATGTAGTTCTTATGCTTTTCTTCAGAAGAAGGATTCCCCCATTCTTCTATTTCTTCTAACGTCAGAGGAAGTGTAGTGTCCATCATGGTGTTGAGAACATCCAAGAAAGGGGCCTAATTAAAAAAAAAAAGAAAAAGAGCCAAAGAAACTTAACACTTCAACTAAGACATTGGGCAAATGAGTTTCAGAAAATCATATTCTTTACAAGCATACATACTGATGTGAGCGAACACAGCTCAAGAACTGTGTGAATCCTCAGGAGTCAAAGTAACTACTCAGCCTAAATCACAGTGGGCAATTTACAACAGTCTTTTAAGTATGCAGACTTCTCAAATGACATTTATATAGTAAGAAAGAGTTTATCCTCTAGTTTTTTATTTTTAGTTTGGTGACTTTTACTCATATATATATATATATATATATATATATGTGTGTGTGTGTGTGTGTGTGTATATATATGTTTTTTCCTTACACAAAAGTGATAGGTACTGAATACAGCACTACTGTATTAATAAAAAAAAACATCTGAAAATATCAAGTATTGGTAGATGACAAACCCTTATGCACCATTGGTCAGAGTATAAATTGGTGCAGCCACTGTAGAAAACACTATGATAGTGCCTAAAAAATTAAACTTAGGTTTACCTTATGATCCAGTGAGTCCATCCCTAGGTATATACCCAAAAGAACTGAAAGCAGGATCTTGAAGGGGTATTTGTACACCCACATTCATAGCAGCATTGTTCACAATAGCCAAAAGGTAGAAGCATCCCAAGTGTCCATCAACAGATTGATGAATAAGCAAAATGTATATACATACAACGGAATATTATTCAGCCTTAAAAAAGAGTGAAATTCTGATACCTGCTACACTATGGATGAAACTTGAGAATATGATATTAAGTGAAATAAGCCAGTGTCAAAAGATAAATTCTGTATGATTTCACCAAATTCACACAGACAGAAAGCAGAAGGGTGATTTTGTGGGGCTGGGGAAGAAAGGAATGCAGTGTTTCAATTACGCAGGATGAAAACAGTTCTAGAGACTGCACAACAGTGTGAGTGTAATTAATGCTGAGCCATATATCAAAACATAAATTTTATGACTTCTTACAATTAAAAAATTAGAAAAGCCCCCAATAACATATCAACTCGTTTTTTTACCAGTTGAGATTTTATTTTATTAGAAGTAATAAATGCTAGTTGAAGAAAATCTAGAAACTATCCAAGGTAAAAGAAAAGATAACCAGCACTGGCTCCTAACCTGTGCTGAAACAGTTAATGAAGGGAGGCTGCTTTCCTCACCTAACCATGCGCTCCTTACAGTTCACACACTTTCCAGCCTTGCCCCATACCGACCACTGACCAAGTCAGTAGTGTCCACAGGTCTTCTTGACTGCCCAGCATCTGAACTCCTTTTCTGTATTTGGAAAATCACCAACATAGACAGCGTGTCTGCCACTACAGACACAGGAGATGGCAGCCAAGTCTCTTTCTCAGCTTTCCCTGCAGCTCAAGAATAGCCACACAGCTTGGGTCCACCAATCAGACACCTGTGTCCCAAACTTTGAATGGGAAGTTGGTGATTCAAAGAAGCAGTGATCAGAGTTTATTCAGGCAAAAGTGACATTATATCCAGTTCCTAGAATGTCATGGGTGATTTGTGCTCAGCAGTGCAATGGTGGCAGCTTCCCAGGCTGGTCCTGAACATGTGCATTCTTACCTGCAAGCAGCCAGGGCTTGTGGTGCTTGCAATCAAGAACCATGACGTAAACACCCTATTGATGGATATGTACACGGTTTCTCATTACTCACTCTGATAATAAGCAGCCTGGGAGAAATACGCTTACAAGTACATTTCTGATTATTTCCTTTTTAATTTATAAAAATCAGGGTTAGGTGCCCTTTCTTTATATTGTAAATAATTTTACTATTATTATCTTTGTGAGTAGGCTTATTTCCTTTATACTTAGTACTTGTATTTTTTAAAAAATAGATTTATAGATTAGGAATAAAAACTTACTACCCTTCACCCTAAAAAAACCCCAAAACCAAAACCAAAAAACAACTGCAAATAGGCCAGTACAGTGGCTTATATTCATGATTCCGGCTACCTGGGAGGCGGAGATGAGAGGATTGCAATTCAAAACAAGCCCAAGCAAAAAGTTAGTGAGACCCCATCTCAATCAATAAGCTGAGTATAGTCTATCAAGCCTGTGGTCCAGCTATACGGAAGGCCCTAGATAGAAGGGTCAAGGTCTGAGGCTGGTCCCAAGCAAAAATATGAGGCCCCACCTAAAAAAGTAAAAGCCAAAAAAAAAAAAAAAAAAAAGTACAAGCAAAGTGATAGAGCACCTGTCTTGAAGCATGAGGCCCTGAGTTCAAACTCTAGTACCACAATAAAACCCCAAAACCAAAAACCAAAATAAAACTCAAAACAAACAAAAAAACCCTGTGAAAATCATTTACTCTCTCCTTTCCCAGTCATTATTTTCCAGAATATCTAAGTAGGGAGTCACAGAATGATTGATGTGAAATTAAATGCTGTAACTTAGCTTCATAGTTTTAGACAATAGGAAAAAAACTACAGGATAAGATATTTCAATTAAAAGACAGGAAAGCTACACCCAATAGGCCATTAAGAATGGAGTATAAATGGACCAGGGGAGTGGCTCAAGTGGTTGAGTGCTTGAGTGCCTGCCTAGTAAGCATGAAGCCCTGAATTCAAACCCCAGTACCACCAACAAAAGAGAATGACATAAAGGTGTGTGAGGGGGAGGAGTATCTAAGACAGGTGTGGTGCACACCTGTAATCCTAGCAGTAGGGAGGCTAAGGCAGGAAGATCATGAGTTCAAAGCCAGTATGGGCTCCATAATTAGACTGTCTCAAAACAGTTGCACAAATGCCAACCCCCCCGCCATCTAAAAATAGCCTCTAAATCCAGAACTGAAATGTCAAATGGGTAGCAGAGTGTCACAATGACTAGGAGTGAGAGGATATGGTGCCTCCCAGAGACAGGCTGATCCATCAACTTCTGGACCTCTGAGGTGTACATGTTTATTTCTTTCCACCAATTCTAAAAGTTCTGACAAACAGAAAATGATCACTGAGAATGGCTATTCATCTTTCAGTGGAAATCCTTCAAAATTAGCAAAGAACATTGTCAGAGAAGAATGAGAAAAGAGTAAATAGTTGGATTAAAATAATTATAGACATTCTCCTAGAGCTATAATTCTGTGTTTGAACTTAAAGCTTTGTTGTACTCTTATGCTGTGGTAAAACAGAAAATTCTTTCTTTGAAGAGCTTTGCACCTGCCCCATTGTGAAAACAGGAGAGAGAGTGTACTTACCTCCAAAGTCACAGCTCTCAGCAGCTCTGGATTAGAATTACACAATGCTCCTGCAAGCACCCCTCCAGCACTGAAAGCACTCAGGGTTGTGAGACTTGGCTGAGAGAAGCCTTGGTCATGAAGCGTCTTGATGCAAGCCTCTAAGTCAGCAAGACCATTGAGTTTTTTAGTTAGACGGCCATCGGCATGCCACTGGAGGCCTAACTCACCACCACCCCTGTAGTGAGAAAATGACAATGATGTAGATAGAGGTCAGCAAACTACATCTGGAGAAATGTTTCTGTATGGCCCTCAAGCTACCGACTGTTGTCACATTTTTAAAAGCTGGGGAGAAAACAAGAAGGACTATGCAACAGAGACTGTGCCTGGCCTGCAAAGCCTAAACGTTTACTATCTAGTTTTTCAGAGAAAAGTTTACCAACATCTGATATAGTCAAAAATTAATTCAACAAATACCCTTGAAGTGCCTACTTACTATTTATCAGGGATTGTCTAACTGTAGATGATATTTCTTTAGAAATATAAAGAAAAAAATCCCTGTGAGGAAAGAAAACAGAGCTACCAAGCATTGTGATTGCTGCTATAACATAAGCATATTTAAGTTTTACAGAAGCAGAGGAAAAGAATGTCTATCTGTCCAGTTAGATATATACATGAGTTAGGAGCCCAAATGACTAAGATGATAAGTAAGCTGAGTGGTGAAGGAAGAATGTGAATTTCCAGAAGGGCAAGGAAAGGGAAGGCATTAAGACACAGATAAAACACAGCATGTGCAAAGGCAAGGAGGTAGCAGAGCATGTCATGTGAAAGGACATGATGATAAGATGACACCACAGAGATAAGTCAGGTCATTACAGTACTTTACTGAGGAATTTGGGACTGTGTTCTCGAGATAGGGAGGTGGAGAAGATTTTAAGCAGAAACAAAATTATATTTGTGTCTTGAAAACAGCTAAAATAAAATAGATATTAGGCTGGAAAAAAGGAGTCCTGGGCTAGGGATGTGGTTCAAGTAGTAGAGTGCATGTCTTGTAAGCCTGGAGACACTGAGTTCAGACCCAGGAATTGCTACAAAGCCAAAACCAAAACAAAAAAGAGACTAGCCTAAGAGGCTGTTTAAGAAAAACCCAAACTAGCTGGGTAAGCTGGTGCACACCTATAATCCCAGTACTTGGGAGGCTGTGGCAGGAGGATCTTGAGTTTGACACCAGCCTGGGCTACATGGTAAGACCCTGCCTCAAAAGAAGAAAAAAAACAAAAAACAAAACAAACAAACCAAAAGAGAAAAACCTAAACTTAGGAGAATCAAACGGAAATAGTAATGTAACAAAGTAAGTAGAAAGAATGATGTATCTATTTAAAATTCCTGAAAACCTACCCTTTTGCTCTTTAGATCAACTAATCTATTACTGAATCAAGTTCCACCACCACAAGTTTAGGAATACATAAATCCAATAATACAAGTAAGAAAATAAGTTTTTGCTCCAACTGCATTGAAATTCTGGTTATCTATCACAATGTTTTAGTACTCATATGCCAGGTAAAATGTGCTGACTCACCTAACATGGCAATATGCTAATATCCATCCATCGTCCACCAACACCCGCCTCTCAGGCCTGAAGTTCATTTTTAAATCCATTCCGTATGCGCCATACACATGTACCAAGAGAGGTTTCTTCTGCAAATCTTCAGAGTCCGTTTTATGGAAAACAGTCATTGGCACCAATTTTCCATCCTGGAAATGAAGAATTGCTCTGCATGTCAAAAGTATTTTTTTTGGGAGGTTCCAAGATGGTGACTAGAGAGAGGAAGCAGAAAGCATGCTTCCTAAAGTAAATTTTTGCAGAGATGCTGGAGATACACCTGGCGGGAAAAACCACCAAGAGGTGGCAAAACTCCAACACCCAGCCTGTGCACAGCATCCTCCCCACCATGTTAAACGGAGAAACCAGGAGTGCTCCCGCGCTGCTAGACGCCAGCTCCTACCCTGCTTGGGAGACGCAGAACACCAGGTGAGCAGATAAGCAGCACGCGGTACTCCCTGGGACAAATCAGCATAGCTCCCTGGACAGACTGACCCCCGCCCAGGGAAAAAAAGGAAAAAAACCAAAACCCAAAAACTGAATAAGAAACACGCAGCTAAAAAAAAAAAAAAAAAAAGACACTAACAAAGAGGGCGTGGTGCCCTGAGCTCCAGAGAGTGGGGGAGGGGCACTTCCCCACACGAACTTTAAATAAAAAAGGACTGCAATTGCAACAGGTGGGTAGGGCTGTATACTAGAGAAAACAAAAGGGGCAAGCATCCAGGAGAACTCTAAGTAAACAAAGCCTGCAGGGCTAGGTGAGTGTAAAGCTCACTCCTGAGGTCTGCAATAAATAAAGCCTGCAGCAGCAGCTGGCTGACAGTAGGTGGCAGGTGAGCTGCAGCCTCAGATAGACATTCACAAAGCTGTCTCAAGACTCCTTTTTTTTTTTTTTTTTTTTCCTTTGATGAGAGAACGACAGAACTACTACTCAAACACCAGTACCAGGACTGGATGCTGAAGGACTAACACCAAAATTATTAAGACTGAAACTGTATTGCATTGGAACTTGGGAATTTTTAAAAATTATTTTTATTTATATTTATTATTTTTAAAATTTTTATCCTCTCTTTGTCTTTCTAATGCCTGTTGAGCTCACTGTTAATTAGTAAACTATCTTTCCTGGTTGTTTCTTCGGCTCTATTTTTTGTTTTTTTCCCTTTTTCTTTACCTTCATTGCTTCCCTCTCCTCTCACCCTTCCATTCTAGATATCACCATTGTTATTATTATAAGCTAGACAATACTGAATTACACACAGTACTGGGACAGTAACAGTAGCAATGGCAATGATGGGAAGACGGAAAAAGAGGGAAACCAATTTCCCCCCAACAATAAATTAATACAGGAACCAGAGGGAATGAAGAAAACAGATGCCCAGATCCAGACTCCAACAAAACGAAGATAAACTATGCCAAAGAACCCAATGAAGCTCACAAGAACAACCTGATAGAACAAATCCTGCAAGTAATCAATGAGAATTTTATAGAGATGATATTGGATATGGTCAACCAAAATGTACAGGAGACACTCAAGAAATTCCAAGACAACAAAAATAGAGAATTTGAGAAAGCACAAGAACAAATAAAAGAAACTATAGAAGCACTGTATAAACACCAAAGTGAAACAAAGAATGATAAATAAAGAGATAAATGAACTCAGGATGAAAACAGACAATATTAAAGGGGAAGGAACTCAGGATATGGAAAAACCTCAGAAAAAAGAACGAAACAAGAAATGCAAAACAAAATGGAAGGCCAATCCAGCAGATAAGAACAAGCAGAAAACAGAATCTCAGAGCTTGAAGATGAAACGGTAAAGGAAAAGCCGAAGAACTATTATTAAACAAGTCAAGACCTGTGAAAAGAAAATGCAAGAACTCACTGACTCCATCAAAAGCCAAACCTGAGAATCATAGGCACTGAAGGAGAAGAGGTGTAAGCAAAAGGAATGCATAATATATTCAACAAAATAATAACAGATTTCCCAAATCTAGAGAACACTATGCCCATACAGGTACAGGAAGCCTCCAGAACACCAAAGAGACCTGACCAAAATAAAACTACCACACGACATATTATCATAAAAACAACAAGTACAGAGATTAGAGAAAGAATACTGAAGGCTGTAAGAGAGAAAAAAACAACATACAAAGGTAAACCCATCAAAATCACAGCAGACTTCTCAACAGAAACATTAAAAGCAAGAAGAGCTTGGGGTGAGGTCTTCCGGGCACTGAATGAAACTTCAACCCTAGGATACTCTACCCAGCAAAACTAGCATTCAAAATAGATGGAGCAATAAAAGTCTTCCATGATAAGCAGAAACTAAAACAATATATGACCACAAAACCAACACTGCAAAAGATTCTTCAAGGGATTCTGCACACAGAAAGTGAAACCCAACATAACCATGAAAGGGCAGGCAGTACCAAACTACAGGAAAAGAAAATGCAAGAAAGTAGAGAGTAATATCTATTTAGCTACAATCAAACCCTCAAACAACTAAAACAACTAAATGACAGGAAACACCACATACCTATCAGTACTAACACTTAATGTTAATGGACTTAACTCCCCCATCAAAAGGCACTGTTTGACAAACTGCATTAAAAAGGAAGATCCAACAATTTGTTGCTTTTAGACCCATCTCATTGATAGAAATAAGCATAGGCTTAGGATGAAAGGTTGGAAGAAGATTTACCAAGCCAATGGCCCCTGAAAACAGGCAGGAGTAGCAATACTTATCTCTGACAAAGTAGACTTCAAACCTACATTGATCAAATGAGATAAAAAAAAGACATTCCATACTAATGAAAGGGGATATAGACCAAAAGGAAGTAACAATTATCAACCTATATGCACCCAGTGTCAATGCACCCAATTTTATCCCGTGAAGGACCTAAAAGCATATATTAACTCCAACACAGTGGTGGTGGGAGACTTTAACACCCCACTATCATCAATAGATAGGTCATCCAAAAAATCAATAAAGAAATCCTAGATCTAAAACATACCATAGATCAAATGGACCTAGTTGATGTCTACAGAACATTTCATCAAACTTCTACAAAGTACACAGTTTTCTCAGCAGCCCACTGAACTTTCTCCAAAATAGATCATATCCTAGGGTGCAAAGCAAGCCTCAGCAAATACAAGAAAATAGAAATTATACCATGCATTCTATCTGATCACAATGCATTAAAACTAGAACTCAACAACAAAAATAAAGACAAAAACATGCAAACAGCTGGAAATTGAACAGCTCATTGCTTAATGAACAGTGGGTCATCGATGAAATAAAAGAGGAAAATAAAAGGTTCCTGAAAGTCAATGAAAATAAAAACACAACCTAACAGAACCTCTGGAACAAAGCAAAGGCAGTCCTGAAAGGAAAGTTTATAGCCATGAGTGCATATATGAAAAAGACTGAAAGATCCCAAATCAATGACCTAATGATACATATCAAACTCCTAGAAAAACAAGAACAAGCAAATCCCAAAACATATAGGAGAGAAATAATAAAAATAAGAGCTGAAATCAATGAAATAGAAACAAACAAACAAAAAATACAAAGAATTAATGAAACAAAAAGTTGGTTCTTTGAAAAAATAAATAAGATTGATAGACCCTTGGCAAACCTGACTAAAATGAGGAGAAAAAACTCAAATCAGTAAAATCAGGAATGCAAAAGGGGAGATAACAACAAACACCATGGAAGTCCAGGAAATCACCAGAGACTACTTTGAGAACCTATATTCAAATAAATATGAAAATCTTGAAGAAATGGACAGATTTCTAGATACTTATGATCATCCAAAACTGAACCAAGAGGACATTAATCACCTGAATAGATCTATAGCACAAAATGAAATTGAAGCAGCAATCAGAGAGCACACAAGGGAGGGGTGAGGATAGGTAAGACACCTAAAAAATTAGCTAGCATTTGTTGCCCTTAACGCAGAGAAACTAAAGCAGATACCTTAAAGGCAACTGAGGCCAATAGGAAAAGGGGACCAGGAACTAGAGAAAAGGTTAGATAAAAAAGAATTAACCTAGAAGGTAACACACACACACAGGAAATCAATGTGAGTCAATGCCCTGTATAGCTATCCTTATCTCAACCAGCAAAAACCCTTGTTCCTTCCTATTACTGCTTATACTCTCTCTACAACAAAATTAGAAATAAGGGCAAAATAGTTTCTGCTGGGTATTGAGGGGGTGGGGGGGAGAGGGAGGGGGCAGAGTGGGTGGTAAGGGAGGGGGTGGGGGCAGGGGGGAGAAACAACCCAAGTCTTGTATGCACATATGAATAATAAAAGAAAAAAAAAAAAAGAAGCAGCAATCAAAAGTCTCCCAAAAAAGAAAAGTCCAGGATCTGATGGATTTTCTGCTGAATTCTATCAGACCTTAAAGAACTAATACCAACCCTCCTTAAACTATTCCATGAAATAGAAAGGGAAGGAAAACTGCCTAACACATTTTATGAAGCCAGTATTACACTTATCCCAAAATCAGGCAAAGACACCTCCAAAAAGGTCAATCTCCTTAATGAACATTGATGCAAAAATCTTCAATAAAATAATGGCAAACAGAATTCAACAACATATCAGAAAGATCATTCACCATGACCAAGCTGGCTTCATTCTAGCGATGCAGGGGTGGTTCAACATACGCAAACCTATAAATGTAATACAGCACATTAATAGAAGCAAAGACAAAAACCACTTGATCATCTCAATTGATGCAGAAAAAGCCTTTGATAAGATCCAATACCATTTCATGATGAAAGCTCTAAGAAAACTAGGAATATAGAAGGAAAGTACTCAACATTTTAAAAGGTATACATGACAAACCTAGAGACAGCATTATAACAGTGAAAAACTGAAACCACTCCCTCTAAAATCAGGAACGAGACAAGGATGCCCACTATCTCCACTCCTATTCAACACAGTACTGGAATTCCTTGCCAAAGAATAAAGAAGGAATAAAGGGAATACTAATAGGTAAAGAAACTGTCAAAATATCTCTATTTGCAGAAGATACGATCCTATACCTTAAAGATCCAAAAAACTCTACCCAAAACACCATAAACAGCTATAGCAAGGTGGCAGGATACAAAATCAACTTACAAAAATCATTAGCTTTTCCATACACCAGCAATGAACAAATTGAGAAAGAATATATGAAAACAATTCCATTTACAATAGCCTCAAAAAAAATCAAATACCTAGGAGTAAACTTAACAAAGGATGTGAATGACCTCTACAAGGAAAACTATAAACTTCTGAAGAAAGAGATTGAAGAAGACTACAAAGTGGAGAGATCTCCCATGCTCATAGATTGGTAGAAGCAACATAGTAAAAATGTCTATACTCCCAAAAGTAATCTACATGTTTAATGCAACTCCCATCAAAATCCTAATGACATTCATCAAAGAGATTGAAAAATCTACTGTTAAATTTATTTGGAAAACAAGAGACCAGGAATAGCCAAGGCAATACTCAGCAAAAAGAACAATGCTGGAGATATCACAATACTCGACTTCAAACTATATTACAAAGCAATAGTAATAAAAACAGCATGGTACTTGCACAAAGACAGACATGAAGACCAGTGGAACAGAATAGAGGACCCAGATATGAAGCCACACAACTATAACCAACTTATCTTTGACAAAGGTGCTAAAAATATAAGATGGAGCAAAGACAGCCTCTTCAACAAAAACTGCTGGGAAAACTGGTTAGCAGTCTGCAAAAAACTGAAACTAGATCCATGTTTATCACCCTATACCAGTATTAACTCAAAATGGATCAAGTACCTTAATAATATCAGACCCCAAACTCTAAAGTTGGTACAGAAAAGAGTAGGAAATACTTTGGAAATAATAGGTATAGGCAAAGACTTTCTCAATGGAACCCCAGCAACTCAGCAACTAAGAGATAGCATAGACAAATGGGACTTCATAAAACTAAAAAGCTTCTGCTCAACAAAAGAAATGGTCTCTAAACTGAAGGGATCACCCACAGAGTGGGAGAAATTATTTGCCAGCTACACATCAGACAAAAGACTGATAACCAGAATATATAGGAAACTCAAAAAACTAAACTCTCCAAAATTAATGAACCAATAAATGGGCAAGTGAACTAAACAGAACTTTCTCAAAAGAAGAAATTCAAATTGCCAAAAAACACATGAAAAAATGCTCACCATCTCTAGCCATTAAGGAAATGCAAATGAAAACCATACTAAGAGTCCACCTCACCCCTGTTAGAATAGCCATCATCAAAAATACCACCAACAACATGTGTTGGCAAGGATGTGGGGAAAAAGGAACCCTTATACACTGCTGGTGGGAATGTAAACTAGTGCAACCACTCCGAAAAAAAATTTGGAGGCTTGTTAAAAATCTAAACATAGATCTGCCATATGATTCAGCAATACCACTCTTGGGGATATACCCAAAAGAATGTGACACACTTTACTCCAGAGGCACCTGCACACCCATGTTTATTGCAGCACTATTCACAATAGCTAAGTTATGGAAACAGCCAAGATGCCCCACTATCGATGAATGGATTAAGAAAATGTGGTATTTATACACAATGGAATAATACTCATCATGAAGAATGAAATATTATCATTTGCAGGTAAATGGATGGAACTGGAGAAGATCATTCTGAGCGAGGTTAGCCAGGCCCAGAAGACCAAAAATTGTATGTTCTCTCTCATATGCGGACTTTAGATCAAGGGCAAACACAACAAGGGGATTGGACTCTGATCACAAGATAAAGCGAGAGCACACAAGCGAAGTATGAGGATAGGTAAGACACCCAAAAAACCAAGATGGCATTTGATGTCCTCAATGCAAAGGAACTAATGCAGAAACTTTAAAGCGACAGAGGCCAATAGGAGAAGGGGACCAGGAACTAGAGAAAAGGTCAGTTCGAGAAGAATTAATTTAGAATGTAATACACACGCACAGGAAATCAATGCGAGTCAACTCCCTGTATAGCTACCCTTATCTCAACTAGCAAAAACCCTTGGTCTTTCCTATTATTGCTTATACTCTCTCTTCAACACAATTAGAGATAAAGGCAAAATAGTTTCTGCCTGGTAGCGAGGGGGTGGGGGGGAGAGGGAGGGGGTGGGGGTTGGGGGAATGGGGGAGAAATTACCCATTTTATGCACATATGAATAAAAGAAATTTTAAAAAAAGTATCTTTTTTGTTTTTCTTTAGTGCTGCTAATTGAACCCAGGACCTTGCACATGCTACATAAATGCTCTATCATTCAGCTACAGCCCCAGCCCAAGAAGTCATTTTAGATATTTACCCCCAATTTAAATAGTTCTGTGCACTGCCCATCCCTTATGTATTACTTATTGATGATCAATATCAACTGCACTTAAGACAAAAGAGTTCATCTCAAAAAATCCATAATCATTCTTGTTTCCAATTGCCTTCCTGACCTATGGTCTCAGACTGAAAAGAGCAGTATGATTGGCTTGAAAAGATTTTATTGAACATAGCTTTTTGTAACATTAAAACGTCACATTAAGTGATGTTTTCAAAGCATTTTTTTTATGGTGATATCGGGATTTGAATTCAGGACTTCACACTTGCTAGGCAAACAGTCTGCCTGCCACTCTGCCAGCCCTTTTAGATATTGGGTATTTTCTAGATAGGGTCTTGAGAACTACTTGCCTAGGGCTGGCTTCAAACCTGAATCCTCCAGATCTCTGTCTCCCAAGTAGCTAGGTTTACAGGCCTAAGCCACTGGCATCCAGCCTTAAAAGCATTCTTTTAAAATCAGTATTATTGCAATTTTCTCTCTTTAGGTCAAGCCAAAATGCTCAGCAAGGTTGGAAATCCTAGTATACAATTCTCCTTTTGCCTAGGGTTAGACATTGATATTTCTCATCTTTGAATATTTATAAATATGCTGAGTAAAAAAGTCTTCTTGCTCAATTTTCTGTCCTCTATAGTCAGATGTCTCAACCATTAGGACCTGAAATCTCTTATGAACCTTATTGATATAAACCTCTTTAAAGGCCTATTTAACATTTTGAAAAAGAAGTAGTTTAAAATTTAAGTTAAATTGCTTTTAAGTGATGTAACTGTTCTCTAATGAACTTCTAACTCAAAAACCCAGGTGACTGAAACTAGGCACTCTCTGGACAGCTAAAACCAGATAACTAAACTATTTTATATCTTCCGCTCACAGAAAAAGGTAGAGAGGTTGGTTCTCACGCTGTTTAAAGAAACCAATCAAATAGCACTAGTTTAATAAAGAAAATAATATAACCAGGTGACTCTCCCTATTTTTAAAATTTTCACTTTGAAAACTTCATTTGGGGCAATAAATGGAGACAACAGAATGATATCAAGTTGGGAGGACACCTCCCTCTCATTGTTTATCATACCCAACTTGTTATGATAGCATAAGTGGATTTTCATTTATTGAGAATAAGATCTATTCTTATAAACTTGACGTGACAAATTTTTGCAAAGCAACTGTGGTCTTTTCCATCCTGTCTCTAACCCTCTTTTCAACTATGTAATTAGAAAATGTACTGGTTGAAACTGTAAAGATGGTAACTGGATCTCAAAATTTTCAGCATGGCAGAAAGCCTACAGAAATGTCTAGCAGATTCTGCCCAGCGCTACCAGCTCTCTGATGCTTGAAGAACTGGCTTTTCAAGAACTTAACTGCTCTTTGAATTTGGGTACAATAATTGCAACATTTTGGTAGATTGTCATAATCCCATGTTTGTAAAATGAAACAACCCCAGAAAATATGTAGTGAGACATAGGTGGTTAATAATGATTTTTTTCTAAGAGGTACAGAAAACAAGATTGAAAATTAGTAATTTAAATTTTATTTTGCATTTGTTGCTTTTACAACACAAATATTTGCTTAAAGATATTAAGAGAATCAATGAATTACAGAAAAATTACACAAGGAAAAAAGGCTTGTATTACAATTTATTTTGTTACCACATGTGAAACTGTTTGATATGTGATATGATAAAGTCTGAAAATTCCTTAATTTCAAGGCCTTAGTTAACTTATTAATTTGTTCTATATTTGCACAAATTTGTGAATTCTGTATAGTGAACATAAATCAATCAATTATTTCCTTTTGCATTTCTAATTTCCCTCCAATCTTCCTTCTTTTGTATACTACCTTTGGCCTTACTGGCCTCCTTTATTACTTCTTGAATTACATAATTTCTTTCCAAATTTGGGGCCTCTGGACAAACGGAATCCCCTTTTCCTTTCTAGCTAACTCTTCATCATCCCAGAGGTCTCCCCCCTGAAATGTCATTTCTTCAGACTAGGTAAGGTCCCTTTGCCATGTGTCTCTTCTGTACTTAATGTGTCTTCCTTTGCAGCAGTCAATATCTTAGTAATAACTTCCTCTGAGGGCAGGGACTGTGTTATCTATCTAGTTCACCCTCATCAGCTGCTTACCATATCTTCACAATTTTTTCCTTAATTACTAGCATACCAACTTTATTTTTTTCTTTAACTCAAATTTTAAAATTCAATATAAATATGTGAAGTGAGGGATTTTTCTAATCCATGTTAAAATAAATATATGAGTATTAAAAGTTAAAACAATCCATATATTCCCTAAAATCATTCGGGCCTTACTGTGGTGTAAAGGCTCTATTTCAGAAAATGGTGCTGAAACACAGCTTCAGTCTCTTGGCTAACACACTTTCAATGAATGGGAGATGAAAGTACATTTTAAAACCTACCTTGCTTTTGGCTTCTAGACGTAAAACACGACTACTCTTTGTGATTGGGTCTTCATGCCCAGTCTCCTCAAATAGTTTGCCTTCTGCAAACTTATATGTGTAGTATTTTGGGGGTCGTATTGGCGAGCAAAGCTGAAAGGGGCAGTTCTTTGGGTCAGAATTTGTATCCATTATGAATCCACAGGCCCAAGGAGGGAGCTGAGGAAACAAAACAGTTATTTCCACACTTTAGATACTAAGTATGACTGATTAAGTTCTGATTCTGTTCCCAACAAGATGATGTAGATAGCTAGTTTACTTTGTTACCACAGGACGTGTCACTTAAAGATTACTTCCTCACAAAATGTATTTTAAATAAACAAACAAAACCCTCTCTTTCTTTTTGTTGGGGGTGGGGGGCAGTACTAGGGCTTGAATTCAGGACTTCACACTTGCTACACAGGCACTCTACCACTTGAGCCACTCTGCCACCCTACAAACAAAACTCTACGTTAATGACCAATAAAACAAGGAAAAATATATGAAAACACATTTATCATGATTCTAGATTTATAAGAAATCACTTTTTAAAACAATTTTTTAATTAGTATATATTTGTTGTACAGAGGGGATTCACTGTGACAACTATGAATAGGTTTACATTGTACATTGTTAGATCACCCCCACCATCTCTCTCCTCAACCCCCTCCCGCCCCACTTAAAGCAATTGTCAGAGGTTTCATTGTTCTATTTTGTACAGGTATGTGAAGTTCATCAACCACATTCCCTTACCTTAATCTCCTTCATTCACTATTCCCCCTCCCATCACCCCCCCACACTGTACCTATTTTACAGTCCTGTCTTTAGTTATTAATTTCTAAATCGATGTTCAAAAGGGTTTCTCGATGTATCCCTGCTGTGGCTGTATACTTGACTTTGCCAGTTCAACCCCTTCCACTGCTCTCCTTTACCCATTTTTCAACAGCTATGAAATAACGTTTAACATGAAAGTTTATTTTGGGCTACAAACTTGGGTGATGAAAGAGCCAAATGGTTAAGAATAAGAGCAAATGAAATTAGTAATTCCAACACCCAACAACAGCTCCAATATCTCTGTTCTCATGTGTATTTCAAATAATTTTCCCACCAGTCCTTAGCCTGCTGCCTGGACAGCTCAGGGATGAGTTATATTCCAGGGTTACAAATGCACTAAAGCATTTACAATTTGTTTCTAACTTTAGTTTCCAGGCTAACCATTGTGCTGAACAAAACCTTTCCAGGCACATCTACTTTGAAAGACTCAGAGCTATTATGCTTAAGATTCTTAACTTTAAGTAAAAAGAAAAGGAATCAAAATTTATTCTCTTGGAGCAGCAGGGTCCAGCTTCAAGCTTTCCACTAACATCCCACTTATACCTTTTAAAGAACTCTGATAAGCAGGTTGACAGTGTTAGAAAAGGTACTGAGAGTCAGAACATTAAAAGAAAATTGCCTTTCTTTTCCTGAGTAATTGTAGAAAGAGCAAATTCCTTAGAAAATCGGAGGTCTTGGCACAGCAACATCACGGGCAGGCACTACTGGGAAGGGACAGACGGGCACACATGAAGAGTATACGATTTCACCTGTAGAAACCACAGCCAAAGCTGTACTTTGCTCCCCAAGCAGATTTCTTCTAATTAACCCAAAGAGTTTATTTCTGGCAAACAGATAAGGACACACATTTACAATGTGTTTTTAAGAGTTCCTGACTTGTTCTCATCAGACTGAGGATTATCTTATCGAAAGAAGTTATACTGCAAAGCTGGTAACAAGGCATCATCCTGAGAGTACAAGGTTCCTTGGCCCACAGAAGTTCATGGTTTTCTGCCTTATGTGACCAATGTAACAAGCTGTTTTAGCTTTAGGCCAACTGGTACCAATCAATCAAAATTCGTTTGGGTTTTTCTGAAACTAAGGAGTCCAAGGTTAAAGTTGTAATATAACAAAAACTGTTCCAAGGCCAGGAACTTTTTAAAGTTTGTCCAGCTAACACAGAAATAAATATTAACTGTCTCAAGGATATTTTAAGTATTTTTCCTACTGAGATATAACATGCTGAGAGAAAATTGGCCTGTATATGCAGACATTTCATCCAAAAAAAACTGATGTTAGCATATAGCCCAAAATTACTCGGCCTGGGGTATAGCTCCGTGGAAGAACATTTACATAGCATAGATGAGGCCCTGGCTTTGATCCTCAGCATTGCAATAAAATGTTCACGACTTGCTTAAATATCATAAGTAATTAAATGTAACTTCTTTTTATGGAAAAAATGCTACTAGAAAATTCTGATGACATGATGACTGAGAACAGGAAATATGTGGCAGGTTCAACATCTCCATTACTGAGACTGAATTTAGAAAGCTTTTTTAGTTAAGTGTCCACTAGGCAGAAGAATTATATATAGAATTACTTATGAATCACTCATGGTATTGTTAAACATCTCAACATCTCATCTTTTGTGTAAGGAACTGTCTATGGTTATTAACGGTGTTATCCAGATTATGAAAAAGGGTCTAGTCTATAAAATTCCTAAGTAGCACCTGGTATGTTATATAGTATTTGAATCCATTTGATGAATGCTATTCAAGGCAGAATAGATACTAAAATCGATAGAAAAAAGACACAAAATAAAGACATGATGTTTGTTCTCATGAAAATCGAAACAATGGAAACTGAGGAATATTTTAAAATAGAAATACTTACAAGGAACATAAAAGATCTTTACTTCAATGTTATTATAGCAGAGTAAGCTTCTTATGACATTCCTAATTTTTTTGATATAGAATTTTGTAATAAATGCATTGCTGGAAATTATATATTCTATTTAATCCCTATTCATATAGACTGTAGTAAGAATAGATGCTCTGCTAGTCTGAAAATGCCTGAATTTGGCATCAATTAGCCACTAAAAAGAAACATTCTAAATGCAGCAGATGAAGGCAATAAGAAAATTCCTAAAGTCTGAGGTAGGTGTGGTGGTGTATGCCTGTAATCCCAGCATTTAGGAGGCTGAGGCAGGAAGACCTCAAGTTGGAGGCCAGTGTGGGATACAAAACAAACAAAAAAAATACTTGAAGTTTTTTTTTTTTTTTTTTTTTGCGGTACTGGGGCTTGAACTCAGGGTCTACACCTTGAGCCACTCTGCCAGTCCTTTTTTGTGAAGGGTTTTATTCGAAGATAGGATAAGGTCTCTGGAACTATTTGCCTGGGCAGGCTTCAAAGGTGATCCTCCTTATCTCTGCCTCCTGAGTAGCAAGGATTACAGGCCTGAGGTTCCCTGCTCAAAAAACTGTAATCTATGCAAATTCCTTCACTGTCAGTAAAAAAATGTCAAATCATAGCTTCATCTTCCAGAAGTGCATTCTGCCTCAGTAAAACAGATTTGTTAAGAGTTCCCTTAAGGGATGGTGGAGTGGCTCAAGTGGCAGAGAGCCTGCCTACCAAGTGTGAGGCCCTGAGTTCAAACTCTAGTACCATAAAAAAAAAAAGTTACCTTAATATTTTCTGACCTTCTCCAGCTTCAGAGCTTTGTTTCTCATACTAGATTACCATAGCCCACCCCACCTATCAAAGTCCTACCTATCCTCTTTATCTCAAATTTATATTACTTTATATTCCTTCATATTCCTTTCTTTTAGCCACATAGCACAGCTCTGGTTTTGATACTGCTTATTTAAAATCACCTTACATTTAACCTTTGTGTCCTAATCTAATTTCATGATAACCTGTATCCATTCCATTTCATAATTTCCAACAAAGTATTCTGCATGTACTTCAGTAAACAGCCACTAGATTGATTGGATTTTTAAGAGGAATTCTGACAACACTGGAATGGAGGGGTTGGTGCAAATGGTCTATGTTGTCTGCTGGTCAATTGGCTCAGTAACTTTTTCCTTATCAAGCAAAATGAGGGCTTTTCTCTTCTCTTTGGTGCCTGCTATCTTAAATGGTTAACTTTTTTTTTTTTTTTTTTTGGCAGAACTGGCATTGGAACTCAGGGCCTCACGCTTGCTAGGCAGGTGCTCTATCACTTGAGCCACTCTGCCAGCCCAGTGCCTGCTATCTTAATGCTGCTTTGAAACTAGGCAGTATGGTCAACTAGTTAGCTTGCCAAGTGGACATGACACATCTCTGTGCTGCTGTGCAGACCACTGCCACCCCTATATTGAAAGAGACCAGAGTCTTTATTCCCATTTCCTGCTGGGGGCAGGGCAGGAAATGTTTTTTCCCCCCTTTTTTTCATTTTCCCCCACTCTTATCCTGTAATAGTAAATTTCTTTCCTAATAAACTTTACCATTAAAAAGAAAAAGAAAAGAAAGAGACCAAAGTCACAAGCATGTGACAGACTACTGTCCTACTGGAGATGTGGGTTGGAGGCAGAGGCCGCCAGTGGCTGGGCACTAGCTGCAAGTTGGTCCAAGTTATTGTTATACCTAAAACCATAAAGATATGTGATACACAGAGATATGCAGAAAGAGAAATATAATGGCCTTTATAACTCTATTTCTGAAGTTCATGTTGTAAGGAAACATTTTAAGTAAACCCACAGGTTTTCCCATGTAATTTAAAAACAAACCTAAACCTGATAGAGTGAGGATGCTAAATGACATTGAAATTATATTTCTTTTAAGAAAAAGTACATGATATTCAAAAATTGACACTCTGTTATGGTAGGCTGTATATGTGTTTTGATTAATAGTATTGTCTTTTGAAAATTTACCATACCTTTAGAGATCGAACTGAATCATCAGCCAGACCAATCACATTAACATAAAGTAGATTGCTGTGCTTCAGAAATAGAACACAGTGATCTTTAAACATGTCCAAGTCTACAACTTTGGTATTTCTTTTCATTGTGAAAAATAAATCCCAATTCATAATAGCAGGGGTATCAGCCGCTGTTCTCATCAGCTGTGTGGGAACAAAGAAGAGATTGAGGTAAAAAAACATACAAAGGCTAAAGCATCCAGAGACTAAACCACTAAAAACTACATCATACTAGTTGTTACAATTTTAAGAAGAACTGAAGTGATTAGGTCTGTATCAAGGATGAAGGAACATAGTCCACACTAGCTTGCTTGGTAGTGAGACAGTATCGCTCAGTGCTCAATTGGCGGCCAACTAGTGTTGAATAGGGGCACTGACGGCCAGGTGACTATGGGATGTATCATGTGTGCATGCCTGAGATTAATCCAAACTGCCAAACTCACAAAATCCTGAATTCATAGGTTTGCTCTTTAAGTCTTTGTTAGCATACAATCAGGATAGAATATGTTTCACTTACTAACCTTTCAGACACAATTAAAATAGGCAGAGATATTAATATTAGTTCTAAGGGAAGAGAAATGGGATGCATAATGTACAGGAGGGTAGCATCAATCTCTACACTTTAATGAAACCCTACAAAATAATTATCTCTTAGGAATGTTTAAGTGTGACACATCTAAACAGTCCCACTGGGGACAAGCAGAATCCAGAATTACCTTGAATTCTGTAGGCTCTCCAACATTAGTGAGAATGTACAATTCATCATCTCTGTGTTCAACGTAGTAAAGAACCCCATGTATGCGCTTCTGGATAAGTACTGGTGGGTCCCAAGGGCTCAAGCCATCTATCAGCCACACTTCAGAAGTGGTCTTGTTCATGATATTTATGGTGAGGAAACGACTATCTTTTGTAAGATAAAGGAAAACAAAATAGCTAGAGAGAGACAGAAAGAGACACATGAGATCTCAGTAAATCTCAAACGCGTGCTACCTTGTTAATGACAGTACCTCCAATATACATGCTTATTCATAATCTGGATAGAAAAATTTAAAATTCCTTAGTGGCTATTACTGAAAAATTAATTTATTTTATCATTCTCCCTGTAGAGTTATTTAAAGTCATTTTTCCTAAAATTTTTGTTTTCAAACACAGAAAGGAGTTAAAAGAACTGTAACATCAATCCCCTGTACCCACCACACAGATTCTGTCATTGCTACTATTTTGCTGTACGTCCTTCATCGTCTATCTATGTATCCATGAATCCATCTTTATTTGATACATAGCAACATAAGCTACAAACATCATCTCTCAATCCCATTAGCTTTCTGCTAAGAGACACGAAATAGCAGAGAAGAAAAGGTACACAGTGTATTTTTATTTTGTTCCTTCTCTGTATGTATAGTGGATTCCCCCAATCCCAATTTTTTTGAACCTTTCTCCCAGCATTTACAACAAAACAGGTCATTAGGAAGAAAACCCCTCACAATCTCACTAATCTAACACATTTTAAAAAACTAACATTACTTTTTTCTATTTTTCTTTCTAAGGTTTTTATTTTATGCATGTCTTTAAATACATATACTACAGATGCAATTTTTGATTCTGCATTTTACATATCATCACTTTCTCCTGTATCAACATATTTATGGTGACTTTTTTTTTCAAATGTAAGGTCTTATATAACTTTCATTAATGCTCAGACTTTTTTATTTCAGCTTTCTAGTCTAAGCTCACTGTATTTGGGGATTCCATGACATCTTTATGATGTGAAAACATGATCACTTTTAAAATAGTTGTCTAATATTCCATCAGGTTGAATTACCATACCTCTTAAAATTTTATTTATTTTTAATTTTTTTGGCAGTACTAGGATTTGAACTCAGGGCTTTGAACTTGCTAGGCAGGCATTCTACCATTTAAGCCACACCCCCATCCTTTTTTTTTTTTTGCTTTAGTTACTTTTCAGTTAGTCTCACATTTTTGGCTGGGCCAGTCTCAGATAGTTTCTTCCTACCTGTGGCCTTCCATATATCTGGGATGACAGGTGTGGGCCACCACAACTGGCTTATTGGTTGAGATGGGATCTGGCTAACTTTTTTTTACCTGGGCTGGCCTTCAACTGAGATCCTCATGATCTTCCTCCCAAGTGGTCAGGATTACAGGTGTGAGCCACTGTGCTTGGCTAAAAATTTGCATTTTAATGTTTCATTATAAGAAAAAACAGGGAACATATTCATGAAGATAATTTCTGCTTTGGCCTTTATAATTTTTTCTTTAAGATGACTTTTAGGAATTGGAATACTAATTCAGTATTATTTTTACAACTAAATAAGCAAAATAATTAAAGGCACTATAATAACTTATACTGACCTATTGGAATGGCTTTAAGTGATACTTTCATATTTTTCCTCATTATAAAAGCAATTTATACTGAAAATGTAAAGAAAGATGGTATCCTTAAATCCTTAAAGTATGTTTATTTGCCAAACATACTTGTTTTGTGAAATGTCTGTGTACATTTCAAACTTGAGCTTGGCATATACACAGCTCTTTATAAAGTAAGGTTAACTTGTATTTTTGTTGAAATGTCTTCCTTTATTTCTTTTCTAGATTTTGCTTATAATAGTTTTTGATTTAGGAGCTTAATATTTTAGGTAATTGGTAGTATTGGCACTACACATTGTAATTTCTTATACTGATTTTATGCTTTGCAGCCACTTTAACCATATTGAATAAAATACTTATAATTTCATCTTTTTTGAAAGGGGTTGTATTTTTTCCCGAAGATTCTTCAAGTCTCTTAGAAGTGCATGATGACATATGAAGTGATATTAATTCTCCCAAAAAGTTGGTATTTTCTACAGTATCAAAAAAATAACCATTTATTTTTATTAGTTTGTCTCTTTTGTCATGTAAGTTTTCATACATAAAAGGATCTGTTTTAGAATTATCAACTCTAGTCTCTATTATTTGTCCTTCAGTTTGTGTTACTTTAACTGTTGTGTAGTTTCATATATTTTAATACAAGATTTTAGGGCAAGTCCTCAGTCTACTTTGCTCTTTATTTTCAATATTTCTTTACTACTTTTATCTTTTTTTTAAATTTGGTAATGACAAATGAAAAGATAAGTTACTTGCTAGAAAAGAAGTAAAATATTTCTTAGAACAGAAAAGGAATGTAAAGAACTAATTTCCATTTCCATTTTTTTCTACTGATTTATTTATTTATTTATTTACAGGGTCTCACTATTTATTTATTTACAAGGAATTAGAAAGTACTAAAGTACTAGGGAAAGTAAATTTTTTTTTGATTGGTACTGGGGTTTGAGTCAGGGCTTCATGCTTGCTAAGCAGGTGCTCCACTGCTTGGGGCACATCTCCAGCCTTTTTTGTCCCGGTTATTTTTGAGATAGAGTCTCACTTTTTGCCTAGGCCAGCCTGGAGAAAGACGCTCATAATTATGTTTCCCACAGTAGCTGGGATGACAAGTGTACACCACCACATTCAGCTTTTCATGTTGAGACAGGGTCTCATGAACTTTTTGCTTGGGCTGGCCTGGACTACAGTCTTCCTGATCTCAGCAGCTGCATAGATGGGATGACAGATGCATGACACTGTGCCCAGCTATTAGTTAAGATGGGTCTTATAAACTTTTTGCTCAGGCTGGCCTCGAATTGTGACCTGCCCTATCTCTGCTTCCTAAGTAACTAGAATCACAGGCATGACCAGTGGCGCCCTGCCTGAAGAAAGTAAATTTTAAAGACTAATGAACATCATGGCTAAAGCAAAGCAATCTAAAGTTCAGATAATCTATATGAAATGGGTCGTGAATTCTGTGCAACTGATACCATAATATTCTAGTTATGACTTACAAGAGATTTACAGTTGCTACATGTGGCAGCCCTATTAAGTGTTCAATTAACTATTCTTTTCGTGTATCACAGTCTGGAGAGTATGTTAGTAACTCAGCATTTTCAGTCAATAATGTATTTGTATTTACTCTGGAGTTTGAATATAACAAGACTGTAATTTAGAACATAAGAAAGTAATGAAAGCATGTTTGCCATAGCCTTATTATACCTGATTCCAAACAAAATCAACATTTCAACACAACCAAGACAAGCACTTTACATAACAGGAGAAATATTCTGGAGAAAATGATTTAATTGTGTTATTCTAGTACCTTGGGTCTTTTTCTGTATAAAAACGTTCATTACGTTTGTTATCACCAAATGTGGCTCGATATACATCATGACAGCGAAGGTTCCTTTGGAAGGTGTAGAATAAAACATCTTCATCTTCTTCATCCTTTACCCACTCTAATAGGAAGTAAAGTTAGACACAGTCACCTAAATAAACAGTTTAAAAATAAAACAAACCAAAAAAGGAATAGTTCATTCTAATTTTGAGTGCCAAAGAGAAAAAATGTGCAAGCCTGCCCCCTGGAAATTTAAATATAATATAGGTTTGACTGTAACTAACTTGTGTTATATAGATAAGGTAGACGGCAGAGTGTTTCAGAAAATAAAACACCACTGTATCTGTTCTAAGTTTTCAAGTAGCCAGTCTTGGGTTATTCAAGTTTCTAAATAAGAGCTAAATCTTCATCTTCAATTTTAGGAAAGACATTGGTAAAGTCACATTTGCTTTTAGGAGATTAATTATGCTTAAATCTACAACTTGTAACTTTAAGCTGAAGAAATACTGGATCACTTTCTCTCATATCTCAACCTTTTCTGTCTGTTTTTAAGTGATAGGAAGTATTAAACTACCAAAGACATTTTATTTTATTTATTTATTTATTTATTTATTTATTATTTTTTTTTTTTCCAAAGACATTTTAATGCTGGTTCTTGGTTTCACTAGAACCTCCCAAGGGAAGCCTGCATACAATTACATCATGACTGCCACCTGGCTGACAATAATTGTAAGTCACCATTATATAATATGCATCCTGATTTTAGGTTAAAATGTATAAAATGTGTTTCTTAGAATCCACTAGGTAAAGTGTAATTTCAATTAATTGTAAAAGCATCTAATTAAACAATGGTGAAAGGATGACGATGAAAAGGGAGGACAAAGTATGAACATATGTACACTCAATGGTAAATGCTAAAATGTAAAAGTTGGTTCTATTTTTAAAAATGTCAGTTTCCATTAATGAGTAAGTCAGCTCAACACGTTCCAAAGTTCCTTAGGAGTGACTTTGGGCAAACGGCTACAACAGTCCTACAAGATAACATGTAATTAAAAAAAAAAAAAAACTCACATTTAAAGTTGAACAAAATATTAAGATACAACTTATTATTCTATATAATAAATTGGGAAAGAATAACTAGCATATACTGCACAACTAGAATGCTGATTAGAACTTTTATTATTTTTTTTTTTTGGTGGTACTGGGGTTTGAACTCAGGGCCTCAGTTACCACTTGAGACATTCCTCCAACCCTTTTTACCTTAGCTTGATTTTTAGAAAGGATCTCCTACTTTTGCTTGGTGGCTTGGACCTCAATCCTCCTACTTCTGGTTCCCAGGTAACGGGAATCATAGGTGTGTGCTACCGTGCCCAGCTTGTTTTGTGAGATACGAGTATCCCTGACTTTTTGTCTAGGCTGGACTTGAAGAATGATCTTCCTGTCTCTGTCTCTGAGTAGTTAGGATTATAGAAATGTACCACCATGCTCAGGTCTTAAGGTAACTCATTTATATACTAAACTAAAAGAATGAATAACTCCTGAATAAGAGGTCTGAAAGAAGATGTAGAATTTGCAGGAAGAAATGGATCAGGCATTTACCTTCTCCTTCACTCACACGGGAAAAAAAAAGGTCTTAAAAGTGTGAACAGTTCAGTTAGTGTAGCCTTTTTAATAAAGAAGACTATTTTGATTGATAACTTACCAAAACTGGACACATTTGGGAAAGACGTTTCCATTACAGGCTGATCACTAAGTTTCACAACTATACAAGTAGATGCCTCAGAATCTTCAGTTCTTATCTTGGCAGCCACATATTTCTCATCTGGAGCAACTCTGATACAATCAATGAAGGGCTGATCTAATTTAAGTTCTTCCAAGTTGAATAAGACTTCATAATTATCATTGTCTGCTACATAAAGAAAAGTATGGAAGAAATAATGCTCAAGATATACTTAAAAAAATTTTAAATGTATTTTAATGTTTTAAATTAGCATTCCCTTTCCAAAAGAGGCCATATGATATCCTATGCTATTCAATATTGTTCTATGCATTAACTTATGAGATACTGCTTGATAGTGTTATAGTCTAGTCTCATATTTAGAGAGCACATAGAACTTACAAAGTAAGACAATACAAATGGTATTGGCTAATACATGTGAAGTGCTTAACATAGTATCTGAGACATAGAACATGCTCCAAATATGCTAGGTCAGGACAGTTAGCCCTTTTGCATTGGTTAATTTTGAGACAGGGTCTTGCTTTATGCCTGGGCTGGCCTGGACCATGAACCTACTATTTATGCTTCTCTGTATAGCTAGGGAAGACATGGGATCTTGAGAACTTTTTGCCCAGGCTGGCCTCAGAACCATGATCCTCCAGATCTCAGCCTCCCAAGAAGTTAGGATTACAGGCTTAAGCCACAGCACCTGGCTCCAGTCTTTACTCTCCTTGCCAAAGCTTTTGAGTGTAGCTGTTAACTATATCTTAAACCCAGATATTAAAAGTAGTCATTTAAAGAAAAAAGAAAATTCAGAAGTAATTTTTAATATTTTCTACAGCTTTGAGAGAAATCAATAGCTATAAAAATTGTGAATTAAGAAAAGGCATATTTTAGGAGGAAAAATTGTGGTGTACCTTCTTCATCTTTAGAACGAACCAAGCAGCAACCTTCTTGATAATAAACAAAACCACCATGTTTAACCTGACAATGAAAACAAACATGTTTTACTTTTTAATTTAATTAATATTTAATGATGTGACTACGCCAGAGGAGACAGATCTGTTATAAAAAAAAACCAGATCTGAAGAAGTATATGAATACATGTTAAATATAAAATGACTACCTTTTACAATATAATCAATAAGAAATAGTTTTCCTGTATTCAGAATCACTAGAGCTGTTTATGAAGCATAAATGTAAAAGTCATAAACCCAAAAGGCATTGCAAAAGGTGTAACAAAATACATGTTGGTTCCCATAAATGTATAAACCACTTCGGGCATATTTTAAAAACATCTGATATCTCTGTATAGTGAGAGTCAGTTAACAGAAATCTAGTGACATCTTTAAGGTAATTCAAAATGATGCAGAGGATAAAACTGGTTCAAACTAGCTTGAAATCCCAGTCAATAACTTTCTGTTATTCTTTCCTTTGAAATTACTATCATTACCAACTGTGTACAGTCGTGATTTGATTTTATACAAGGTACATATTATCCTCTGTGGGGAGACACACAGTGTGAGGTTGAGAAAATAAAACTATCAAATAAGAATAGTCTTCTTGTCTAACACCTATATATTTAGTGCTACTGACTGACTTATTTGATTTTAAGTGGATTAAAACACATTTATTACCTGCTAATTATGGTATAACTTGAATCTGGAATTCTTACTGCTATTTTCATTTTTACATGTGTGATTTTCATTGATAATCTATTTTTCTAATCTTATTGAAAATTTCAACCTTTTAAAAAATCTATTTCATGCAAATTAAAACCAAACTAAGATTCCCTTCACCCCTGTTAGAATAGCCATCATTAACACCACCACTAACAACAGGTGTTGGCGAGGAGGTAGGGGGAAAAAGGAACCCTCTTACACTGCTGGTGGGAATGCAAACTAGTACAACCACTCTGGAAAAAAAATTGGAGGCTTCTTAAAATCTAAACATAGATCTACCATATGATCCAGCAATACCACTCTTGGGGATATACCCAAAAGAATGTGACACAGGTTACTCCAGAGGCACCTGCACACCCATGTTTATTGCAGCCCTATTCACAACAGCCAAGTTATGGAAACAGCCAAGATGCCCCACTACTGACGAATGGATTACAAAAATGTGGTATTTATATACAATGGAATTTTATGCAGCCATGAAAAAGAATGAAATTTTATCATTCACAAGTAAATGGATAGAACTGGAGAACATCATTCTGAGTGAGGTTAGCCTGGCCCAAAAGACCAAAAATCTTATATTCTCCCTCATATGCGGACATTAGATCAAGGGCAAACACAAGGGGACTGGACTTTGATCACATGATAAAGTGAGAGCACACAAGGGAGGTATGAGGATAGGTAAGACACCCAAAAAACTAGATAGCATTTGTTGCTCTCAATGCAGAGAAACTAATGCAGATACTTTAAAGCGACAGAGGCCAATAGGAGAAGGGGACCAGGAACTACAGAAAAGGTAAATTCGAGAAGAATTAACTTAGAAGGTAACACACATGCACAGGAAAGCAATGCGAGCCCTGTACAGTTATCCTTATCTCAACTAGCAAAAACCCTTGGTCCTTCCTGTTAACTGCTTATACTCTCTCTTCAACAAAATTAGAGATAAGGGCAAAATAGTTTCTACCTGGTAGTGAGAGGGTGGAGGGGTAAGGGAGGGGGTGGGGGGAAGGAGGGGAGAAATGACCCAAACATTGTATGCACATATTAATAAAAGAAAAAAAATCTATTTCAACTGATTACTTATGACTGTACTATAAAATGGTTAAGCATATACTTGGCTTTCATGGTATTATGCTTAAATGAGATTACTCATAGAACAGGCAAACACTTTTCAAATAATAAAGAAATAAACTAGTTTCATTGGAACTTCTTGAAATCTTAAAAAAAAAAAAAAAATCAAATCAGAACTGGTTGCTCCCCTAAACCGGAACATACTACACTTTAAACTTCTCTTAGGTTTGCTCTTCATATTTGTTGCAAGAATCACATGCTGCTTAATCTTTGCTGCTTAAAAATTTTCAGCATATTTTAAAGGCCAAAAGTATAATTTTTGCATCTTAACTGGTAGTTAAGATGTTGCATATCCTACCTCAGCATTGATGATTTCATATTCTTCTTGGGGCTGTGTTTCTAATTTTGTTCTCACTTTCTCAAATGCATCCATGGTTTCCAAAAGGGGTTTTTCGTTTTCTTGTTTAATAGGCAGAAGATCCTAGAAAAAGTTTTGTTGGTATGATCAAATTAGGGGGAAAAAACCTTTGCTTTTTAAAAAGAATTATTTTCTTTTCATGCAAGTGTTTAATGTTAGGTGTACATGTATGAAATAGTACGTGCTTATTAAATGTGTTAAATGTTCTTTATTAAGTTCATCAATAAACTAATCTTTTTCATTTAAAAAACATAAACCAAGAAAATAAGAAAGATACTTGATAGTCATCCTATTATTTTAAGTGGACAAGTCCTTAAGATGCAAACGAATAAGCAGTTTTGAAGAATGTTTAGGAATATTATGAGAAAGAGTTATATACAATTAAGAAGGAAAGGAAATCTAATGAAGTTTTATATATTTAATAGCTAGGAATGAGAGGTAGAAAAAAGCTTAGTAAGTTTTATAAGTACTGAAATGCCTAAAAAAAAGGTAAATTTCGAAGAGGAAGATATCTTTGCTATTAGATGTTGCCTATCATCTTATTCAGAGTCAGTTTCTACCTGGTAGTGAGAGGGTGGAGGGGTAAGGGAGGGGGTGGGGGGAAGGAGGGGAGAAATGACCCAAACATTGTATGCACATATGAATAAAAGAAAAAAAAATCTATTTCAACTGATTACTTATGACTGGTACTATAAAATGGTTAAGCATATACTTGGCTTTCATGGTATTATGTTTAAATGAGATTCCTCATAGAACAGGCAAATACTTTTCAAATAATAAAGAAATATTCTTTATTCTAGTTTATTAACCACACAATTTTCTTCTCTTGTGATAAGTAACCCCCAAAACAGAACTATTTATCAGATCAAAAAGTGAAATGATGCCTTAAAAAATAATGCTTCCTTTTTAAAGGGAAAATTCACCAGATGATAAGGAAAAAGAATGGAAAATTAACAAATGTGAGTTGAGATATAGAAGAAAGCCAAATAACCACTTGTGTTTCATGGTAGTATCTAATAAGCTACAAACTTTAGTTGACCTCTGGTGAGCAAATAATATATAAATAATTAAAATTTGGATAAGACAAGATCTGAACTGCCAAATTAAAAAAAGGGTCCAATAACTCAACACTCCACTGAGTTGCCTTTTTTAAGCAAAAGAATTCTAGTTAAGATTTTCAACCCTTCAGATCCCTGCCAAAGATGACAACTGTGCAGATTTGTGCCAGAGGAGGCATTAAGCCTTTGGTAAGGACCGCCAACAGCTGTTAAGTGTTTTCTGCAAAAGTATGCTCATGATATTTTACCAACACTGTAGAGAATGTAAGTCATAAGTATAGCTTCTATTATAAGGTTTATAATCTAAAATTAAATCCAAGAATAAAACAGAAAAGTCATAAAAAGATCAAATAGAAAACAATCAATTTCACAAGTTTTTTTTTAATCTTTCTGGAATGCTTTAGGGATCTGGATTAGATTCAAATTGGTGATAATGTTCATATGGTAGTCTCAATCATTTACACTACATTTCCAATTGTGAATATTTTGAGTCCAAGTACTGGAGGCTTGCACATTTACTTTTCATTTTTTAAAGCATTCCTACAATTTCTATGGCCGATATTTAGAACAGTAGGGCAAAATATATCAATAGTCCCGTAATATACCCCAAAACATTACATAATAAATCAGAAGATTACTAGAAATCTATTTTGACATTATGCCATAGCAGTATGAGTGACCTTTTCATTTCCACATATAGTCTTGACTCTTCTGTAATCCCCATTAGTACTTTTGAAGGAGAGGGTGGATAGCTATAAAAAGTACCCCTCTCTACTTCTACCCTGTAGTTCTAGCATATTCTAGGTCATGGAGCTAGTCTCTATCACTTTTAAAGACCCATTCTTACTGTGAACCACGGCCAACAAAGAGCTAAAGGTAACAGAGCTGGGCTCAATACTTGTCTTCCTAAACTTACATTATATTCCTGTTTAACTTTTTTGGGGCCATAAATCCAAATAAACTGAGCTCATCTGAACCAAAATAACTCCAAGAATAGGATTTTTAATTGCCTTAATGAAAATTTAAGGTTACAGAGACTATTGTTCCATTATTGGCAAAAACGAAAAAACAAAAACACTCCCTTCTTCCAAGTGGCCCACAATAAAATCACTTTAACAATGAAAGCTTTTATAAAATAGAAAAGTGAAGAGTATAACTTTATTATGGCAAAAAAATGTTGAACTCAAAGACAAAACACAGTGAAGCAGAAAGACGGTGGGCAGCTTTTTAGTTAAGAATGGTGCTAATTCCAAGTCCAGGTAGGCAGACTACAAGGTAGGCTTGGGAAATCTTGTTCCAGAAAGTAGGGAGGTCCTTAAAGATTAATAGACAGGTCAATAGGACACAAGGGGGCAGTGTGAAGGGGACCCTACTAACCACATTCGGGATACTTTAACATCAAAAAGAATAAGGACTGTAATAGATTACAATACAATGAAAAAATTAAAATCCAAAAGAAATGGAGAAAAAAGCAAAACCCCTGCATTTAAACTAAACTAATAAAAAACTGAAAGGAACAAGAACAAACAGAAATTATTCCTTATAGAATAATAGCACCTAATAAACACAGAAAAAATAACAGAATTGGAAAAGAGTCATTTAGAGAGCCCCAATGAGACAACCGATTAGGGCAAAGATCAATGGTAATTGAACTTGTTAAGAATATTGTATAAGCCTTCCCCAACACACTTAACTCACCCACCCCCCAAAAAGAAAGAAGGAGTATGGATGGCTGAGGGCTTCAAGTGGTAGAGTGCCTGCCTACCAAGCACAGGCCCTGAGTTCAATCCAAACAGTCTTCCTCTTGACTTGATGGAGCCAATAAGGAGTTTCTGGATTGAAGAAAAAAGACAAAGAACATTAAGAATGAAAAAGATGGCACAATTACAGTTATAATAGAGTTTTTTTTTTTAAATCACAGTAAGTTACTTTGGGAGGAATAGGACTTGAACTTAGGGCTTTGTGCTTACAAAGCAGGCACTCTACTGCTTGACCACGCCTCCAATCCATTTTGCGCTATTTATTTTTGAGACAGGGTCCTTGCAAACTATTTACCAGGGCTGGCCTTGAACTGTAATACTTGAACTTCCCAATCTCAGCTGCCCAAGTAGCTAGGTAATCCTAGGTGTGAGCCACCAGTGCCTGGTGACAGTAAGCTTCTTTGTTGAAAATATGGATGAAATGGGTAATTTTCCAGAAATAAAAATGAATTATCAAAATTGACTCAAGAAATTAAAAAGCTATCTAAGCCAACAAGATTTTGCAGTAAAATCAAGAAATTAAATTGGAAATTCAATGTCTCCTTCTTGAAAGAGATACCAAGCCCAGATGCTTTCAAAGGTAGCTTTCTTGAGCCAAGCATGTTGGTATACAAATATAATTCCACCTTTTTTTGATCTCTTATGCAAACTATTAAAGATAATAGGAAGACTACTCATTTTATTAGGATAATTATAACCTTGATAACTAAAAATCAATTTCTGGGCCTAGTGGTAGAGTACATGCTTAGCACACTTAAGGCCCTGGATTTGATCCCCAGTGCCACAAAAACAGTAACAAAACAAATTCCACTCTTAATCTAAAATAAAACACAATAAGCCTGCTATGTTTAAAAAGCACAAAACAAAAATAGAATAATAGTGATATTAATAAGCCTCTTTGTGACTAAGTGGGATTTTTTTCCCGTAAGAATGAAAGGAGCTTCCAGATCCTTTTCCTTAGACAAATCTGTCAGTGTCATCTAACATAAGTAAAACATAAATCTTAAGGCCATTTCTTTAAAAATTGATTTTATTTTTGAATTAGCATACATTAATAATACAAGGGTATTTCACTGTGATGATTCCATACATGCATTACAGTATACTTTGAAGTAATTCACCCCCTCCATTATATTCCATTCCCCTAAGCCCATTAAAATAGAAAATAATACACTTTTAAAATATGCTAAAATCTTAAATTAGTAACAGAAAGGAACTTTCTTGACTCAATAGTGTGTTGTTTCACAAAGGAATATCTAAATTTGTAATTAACATACCTGAAATGTATTCATATTAGTATATGCTGCACTGAGCATCTGTGAAACACTAACAAGCTTTAAAAAATTTTAATTATATCCATTTTAAATATATAATTGTATTTACTATTTAAAAGCTTAGACTGATAGTATTCTGGTGGTTTCATCATCATCTCTTCCTTGGATTACTGCAAAATCCTGAGTGCTTTCTCCTTTTGCCCTGGCCTTCCAGGCTGTTGTTAAATATAGGGAAGTAACTATACCCTATGCTCACAGCCTCAAGTTCTTCTCCTTCCTCTTTTCTTATCAGATTTTCGCCCTTTTAATTTCACTGACTGCTATTGTTGAGGTCACTAATGGTCTCTACATTGTAGAGTAGAAAGGTTACTTTTGCCTGTTCATGTTTCATAATCCATCAGCATTATGGCACACAGTCTATCACTTCTTCCTCCTAAATACCTTTATCCTTCATTTAACACCCATCATACCTTATTCTCCTTGTTTCCCTCCTATTTCACTGGCCAGACCCCTCGGTCTCTTCAGCTGTTCCCTATTTAACTCCCTGACTTTTAAACACTGGCACGCTCAGGGTCAGTTCCTGGACTACTCTTCTTTACAGTCTGCTCTAATTCCTTTGATGATCTCATTCAGTCATGACCTTAAATGCTATTTATATGCTGAGTACGTCCACATTTATAGTTGTAGCCTGAATCTCTCCTTGGAACAAACTGAACTTGTATAGCCAACTCTTTTTTTTTTTTTTAGTAATATTCCCTCTCTGATTCATTTATTCAACAATATTTATTTATTTATTTATTTTTATTTTATTATTCATAAGTGCATACAAGGCTTGGGTCATTTCTCCCCCCTGCCCCCACCCCCTCCCTTACCACCCACTCCGCCCCCTCCCTCTCCCCCCTCTCAATACCCAGCAGAAACGATTTTGCCCTTATTTCTAATTTTGTTGTAGAGAGAGTATAAGCAATAATAGAAAGGAACAAGGGTTTTTGCTGGTTGTATAGCCAACTCTTTTTCAACATTTCACTTGGGTATCTAATAGGTATGCAAAAAAAAAAAAAAAGTCCAGAACAGAATTTCCAACTCTCTATGTACTCCCTTTTACTCCCTCAATAAACAACAACAAACTCAAAACACCCTAATCCTGTTGTCTAGGCAGTCTTTCCTGTTTCCACAAATGACAAATCTGTCCTTTTGGTTGCTCAGACTTAAAAGCCTTAGAGTTTGCCTTGCCTTTCTGTCTTGCTACAACCAAGTGATCTGGTACATCCTATCAATTCTACTTTATATTTAGAATTTGACCTCTTCTCATACTTGGATTAGATTGGTGGTATCATCATCATCTCTTCCTTGGATTACTGCAAAATCCTGAGTGCTCTCCTGGCTTTTGCCCTGGTCTTCTAGGCGATTATGAACAAAGGAGTTAGAATGAGTCTAAAGTGAGATTACATCACTTCCACTGGTTTCCCAAATCACTCATGAGGAAAAGCAAGAATCCTTGCAATGGTCTACAAGTTCCTAATGGATCTTGCCTGCCTCATTACTTTGCTGATGTATCTATTAAAATACTACTTGTGTAAAAACTATACAAATTCACGGGTAATTTACAGATACATGCATGGAAAAACAGATTAACGATAATGACCACCAGTGGGAAGGTAACGGAATATGATCAGGAATGTACTCAGCTATAGGTTGAGTACCCTTTATTCAAAATGCCTGTGATTATAAGTATTTTGGATTTTGGGATGTTTGCAGAGACTTTACTGATTGAGCATCCTAACCTGAAAATTTGAAATGCTCTTTCAGAGAACTGTAAATATCCAGGTAAGAGATGCTCAACCTGTACTACACGTCAACTGTGCCCACTTACTCCAACTGAGACATATGGGCCTCCTTGATGTTTCTTTAATACATCAGGTTTGCTACCACCTCAGTTTCTTAGAACCTGCTGACCCTTATGGCCAAATAACTTCTTCACTGTGTTACTTAAATGTAACATATTTTATATCTTACTCTTATATTTTATTCTGTTTATTCATTGTTATGTGCTCAATATTTAGAATGGTACATGGTAGGTGTTCAACAAGTATCAGCTGAATCAAATAAAACACAGCCCAAAACTTAATATTTAAAAACTTATTTAACAAAAGGTATCATAGGATTGGGAATATAGCTCAAAGCCACAGTGTTGCCTAGAGTGCTGGGTTCCATCCCTTGCACTACTTAAAGAAAAAAAAAAAAGTCAGGTGCAGTGTCTCATGCTTATAACACTTGAGAGGCAGAGATCAGGAGGATTACAGGACCAGCTTGGGCAAAAAGTAAGCAAGACCCCATCTCAATCAATAAATCTGGGCATGGTGGTACTTACCTGTCATCCTAATTACATGGGAGGCATAAACAAAAAGATTGTGGTCCATACCCTATTTGAAAAATAACTAAAATAAAGCAAAAAGACCATGGGGTGTGACTCAAGTGGTGGTGTAATTGCCTAGCAAGTGCAAGGCCCCAAGTTCAAAACCCCAGTACTGCAAAAAAAACCAAAAACATAAAGAAACACACACACACACACACACACACACACACACACACACACAAAGAAGACAGAACAAATATGGATAAAATATCTATAGGCCACATTTTTAAAAGGCCCAAAACATAAAAAGAACTCATGAATTAGTAAGAAAAGACAAAAAATGGCCAAAGCACATGAATAAGCAATTCAAGAAGATAAAGTCAGCAAGGTGCTGGAGGCTTACACTTGTAATCCTAGTTATTCAGGAGGCAGAGATCAGGAGGACTGTGGTTTGAAGCCAGCCCAGGTAAATAGTTTGCGAGACCCTATCTCGAAAATACACATCATAAAAAAGGGCTGGTGGAGTGGCTCAAGGTGTAGGCCCTGAGTTTAAACCCCAGTACTGGAAAAAAAAAAAAAAGATAGTAAGTTCAGTGAGTCTATGAAAAATGCTAACTAACTCTGAGTTCAAACCCCAGCACCACCAAAAAAGTCTGATAAATGCACAAGGGGTACAAATAACACTATGCTTTGCAGCATTTTGGAGGTGGGGTGATGAGTTTGGAAATTAGAAACAACTTACATGCTTGTTCAAAGAAAATGATTATGGTATACAATACTATGGAACACTATATAATGGCTGCAGTAAATGAACTAGAGATACATGTATTAATGTTGAATTTCAGAATCATAATGTTGAGCAAAAGACTAAGCTAACAATGCAGAATATGCATTGTTAGACATGCAAGAATATTAAAATATTAGTATTGTGTAAAAATTACACAAATACATATGTAATTTATATAGAAACACGCATGGAAAGAAAATTACAGATAATGGCCACCACTGGGGAGGTAATGGAAAATGACAAAGGAAGTAGTCAGGCATCTTTCAAATCTATCCATAATTTTTGTAGCTAAGAAAAAAGTCACACTGAGAAGCAGGGATGTGGGTATTTTTTATGGTATTCTCTATGACATCCTTGCATTTATGGTCAACTCATTTTCAACAAGAATACCAAGGCAGTTCAATGGGAAAAGATTAGTCTTTTCAACAAATTGTGTTGAGAAAACTGGACATCCATAATTAAAAAGATAAAGTTAGACTTTTATGTCTTATACCATATGTTCATTTTTATGAACTGAAAGAGATCACACACTTTAAAAAAAAAAAGAGTTTAGCCTGGATGATGTCTAGGCCTTTTTTGCAGCAACATTTATGGTTACATGAAAAGAAAAAAAATGTTTCATTTAACTATTAATACATTCCATAAACATTTATTATTTATCTATTTATTGTGCTACGCAAGTTGTGTATTACATAATTCTTGTCTCTAAGGACTTCTCAAGGAGAATTCCAAGATGGCGGCTAGAGGTAGGAAGCAGAAAGCGAGCCTCCTATAGTGAAATCTTGGAGAGACGCTGGAGACACACTTTGCAGGCATAATCACTGAGAAAAGGCATAACTTTGACCCCTCCACATCTCCAGCCGACGCAGAGAATCTCCACTTCACGTTAAACGGAGAACCGAGGAGGGCCCCCGGGGCCGCCAGTGGCCGGCGCCCATACAGTTTGGGAAGACGCGGACCAGGTGAGCTTCGCGGTACCGCGGTTCCCCCACAGACAAGCCTGGGCCAGAGCAGCATAGCCCCCTGGACAGACTGACCTCCACCCGGGAAAAAAAGAGAAACTGAGTACTAAGCAATAAGAACAGTTAAGACACGCTGGAAAGAGGGTGGGGCGCCCTGAGCGCTGAAGATTGGGGGAAGGGAACCCTTCCCGGGACTGTAAATAAACGAGCCGGGCAGGCGGAGAGGCTCTGGCGGGAGCGGGGCGCGCCAGCAACCAGGAGTGGGACGCTTGTGAGAGGAGGGAAGACCCACTTCCCACGTGAACTGTAAATAAACACGCAGGCCTGACAACGCGGGGCAGTGTCACCTTTCCCAGTGCTTGGAAAGGGAAAGCCTGTAGCAGAGGCCCGCACAGGAGAACTCTGAGCAAACAAAGCCTGTGGGACCAGGTGAGTGCTAAGCTCACCCAGAATCTGCATAAATAACACCGCCAGCTACAGGCTGAGAGCAGCAGGCAGGCAAGCCACAGTTGCAGATACCACTCTCAGAACTGCCTCCAGACGCTTTTTTTTTCTTTTTCTCCCTACCTTTGATGAGAGAACAACCGAATTACACCTGCAAGCCGAAAAACTTACTGAAACTGTATTGCATTTGAACTGGGGACACTTGGTGGGTTTTTTTTTTTTTTTTCTGTGTGTGTGTGAGTGGAGTTTTGTTCTACTTTATGCATCCCCTTTGATGAGACAACTACAGAACAACATCTGAGGCACCAACTCCAGGACTGGAGATTGAGACGGACATCCAAATTATTAAGACTGAAATTGCATTGCATATAAACTTGGAAGTTTTTTGGTTTTTTTTTTTTTTTTAATTTTCTATTTTCCATTTTATTTTAATTCATTTTTATAAATAGATATTACTTTCATATACTTATTTTTTATTTTTTTTATCTTTGATTTTCAATCCTCTCTCTGTCTCTCTATTGTCTGTTCAGCTTACTGTCGATTAGTACACTAACACTCCCTGTTTATACCTTTGAAACTCTCTTGTCTGATACCTTGTTCTGCTTTCTCCCTCTTGTCTGTATATTTGTTTTCCCCTTTTCTTTAACTTCTTGCTTTCCATCTCAGCTCACTCTTCCATTCTCAATATTACCATTGTTATTATTACAAGCTAGAAAATACTTAATTACACACAGTACAGGGACAGTAACAACACCAAGGACAATGACAGGAAGACAGAAAAAACAAGGAAACCAGTTTCCCCACAGCAAAAAATTAGTACAGGAACCAGAGGGGAATGAAGAGAACAGAAACTCAGAGCCAGACTCCAACAAAATGAAGATAAACTATGCCAAAGGACCCAATGAAGCCACAAGAATAATTTAAAAGAAGACATACTACAAGTACTCAATGAGAATTTTATAGAGATGATACTGGATAGGGTCAACCAAAATGTACAGGAGACACTCAAGAAATTCCAAGACAATAAAAATAGAGAATTTGAAAAAGCAAAAGAAGAAATAAAGGAAACCATAGAAGCACTGTATAAACACCAAAGTGAAAGAGAGAACACAATGAATAAATGGATAAATGAACTCAGGACAAAAATAGACAACAATAAAGAAGAAAACAGCCAGGATATGGAAAACCTCAGAAAAAAGAACGAAACAGAACTGCAAA